TCTGTCTTCAAAGATATTTTTACTCCGAAACCCATCAACAAATACAATTTGAGAAATACTGATTTTTTAAATGAACCTTTCTGTCAAACGAACTTTAATCAATTTTGTATTGTCTATCGGGCACCACACCTTTGGAATAAAATTGTTTTGCCCAATTTTGATTTCGAACTACCCATTACTTTTCGTTTTTTTAAAAGTAAATTAAAAACCCTAATTTTTTCATTAGAAGACGTATTATGTTATTATTAATAATATAAATTAATAACTTTGCCTTTTCTTATTTATATTTGTAAAAAGTTTATTCTTACTTATTTTGTTGATTTTATATTCTTTACTTCACGTATACGTTTATATAAAATATTAGTGAGTAGATCCGCGTGATCTCTCTTTGGATTATAAAATATATATTTGGATTATATATATATGAAATTTGTAAAAATTTGATACTGTTAATGCTTGTTTGAACTTATTTAAGGTTCTGACGACAAGATCCTTTGATCTTCTTTCAGATACCTTATTTTATATTTGTGAAAGTTAATTATTATCATCATTATTTTTATTTTATTTTTTTTTTTGGCAATATATAGTTGTAAAACGACCAACAAATGTAAAATTAAAAAAAAAAAAAAAAAAAAAAAATTCTACTTAGGAGAGAGTGTGTATGAAAGAGCCAGTTTCAAAAAGGTATGAAAAAAAGTCAATTTTGAAAATTTAAAAAAAAAATTTTGCTTTAATTAAATAGTTACGTAATTGGATAATATTATAAAATTAAAATATATTGGATAACAATGCTAATAATCATACACCAACAGTGGCGGTGTAGTGTTTTTAAACGGTCGTTTAGATATTAGTAAAAAGCGCTACGTTTAGGTACGCATGCGTAAGAAAATACGAAAAATTTTTGAACTTTTAAAATGGCTACGGTTCTTAACTACAGAGAATATTTTATATGGCAACAGATTATTTGTTTATTAATTTCTGAAAAGCCAATGATGTAGTCTTACTTTTAACGTAAATCAATATAACAATACAAAAATTTCACAAAAATATAAATAAATAGATGTAACAAAAATTTTTGCTTAAACTTTATTTTTATTTAATACCTTTTTAGTGTAAATCATAGATTTGTTTATTTATTTGAAATCAATTTTCTAAAAATCTGGCTGTAGGATTTCAAAATTTTTTTTATAAACTTCAGATAAATATGTTCTATATGTATGATATTTTTCTGGTCGTTGCGTCAACTTTTTTTCCATATAAAAATTTGTTTTTAAAATGTATTATTTAAAATGTATTATTAAAATCCTAGTTAATCTACTATTTGTTTTCAACGGTTTGTATTCTTCAAATCGGCTAAAAAAATTAGCAAATCAATAAAAAATGCTGGTGCTAGTTGCCGATACAGATTGTGAAATATTTGGTTGATTAAGCCGATGCAAATTAATCTGAACATCACCAAGAATATTCAGATTAGTTTTGAATTTCTGAATTCCTTTTTTTATTTTTAGTTGACATTGAGTGCATTGTGGGTATCAAGAACAGCTAGTATAAGTATAATTTTTATTAAATTTTGAAGATGTTTTATGTAAAAGATAATGACAAGAATCTTGTTTTTATTTATAGAAAAAAATCCAAAACAATAATTTGGGAGGGAGCGATTTTCTTAAGTTAATTTTTGTTTGAGTTTCAGGCTTATATTGTCTTAACCAGTTTAGCATTAAATTTTTTTTTTTTTGAAATTGGGTGCTTATTTTTATACAGGCTGCAAACACCAAGTCTCAATCACAACAACAAAAAATAATTTCAAATGGGGAGAAGCCATAGGGGAAACCCTCCTGGTGCCAAGTAAAAACCTTTTAAAAATATAAATCCGAGTTATTGGGGAGTTCACAAACAGTAAATGGGGGAGGGGGACTTCTTTGGAATCTGAGAGTACCACTGTCTGAAATGGATTGTGTTATAGCAATCGTGGCTCAGCGGTTAGAGCATTGGATTTGTAATCTAAGGGTTGCGAGTTCGATCCCTACTCGAAGCACATAAAAGTTATCGGTAAGGTTGGAAACGGAGAGCCAACTTATAAATGCTATTCTTCTTGTAGCAGTGTTCTGTGACAAGACCATTAGGACTTCTTAGAGCACATTAATAACAAAATAAAACAAAAAAGTTGAGAAGTGGGGGAGGAGGCAGTAATTAAAAAAAAAATCGCCAAAGGAGAAATAAATCGTAGATCCGCCCCTGCTAACTCCAGTTACATTGTTAGAAAACTTTTGTAAGGAAATGGATAGTTTAAGAGTAATATGTGAAAGACTCAAGTTAGTGTCTGGAGACGAGAACATATGTGCTCCATTTACTATTTAGTTGCTGAAAAAAAAACTTGAAAAATGCTAACAGAGTTAAAATTTGTTAGTAATTATGGATAATTTAAGTGACGATGAAAAAATTATTGTTACAAGTTAGCCTTAAATGATCAAATATTGTTGACTTTGATAAAATTAAAATAAAACCTACTTTTAAAATGCTTGCTTATATATGTAACATCAGTAAGAATAAGCAATTAGCTATTTGGAAGTAGATTGCTATTATGTATTTTAAACCAAAGTTTCTGATAAAAATGCAAGTCAGAACTGGTAATTATAAAACATTAACACCTGTTTTCAAAACAAAGTTTCTTACACTAACATGCTTTGAAATCTTTATAGAATCTCATTAGCAAGAGCAAAATGTTACAGTCAGTAAACATATTACAGCATTTAGCCAAAAGTAATACTACTCAAAAAATCACATGTTGGAAATTTATTGGCTGGCCACTTATAGCGATTGCTGCGTATGGTCCACTTAGTAATTGTTGAGCAAAACTCCCATCAACAGTGAAACTATAAAAGGTCCACTGCAAGTTCACTACCTAAAACTTGCTGGAAAGTTTTAAGATTTTAAAGTAAATCTTTACGGTTATATTTTTGGAATAGTTGCAGATAAGCTAGTAAGGAAAAAACAGGAAGATTCTATCAAATAGCTGATCAACTATGTCTTTTTCATGGAATTCATTTTTCATTTTATCATTGTAGGCTTGATGTTTCAATTGGAAATGCATATTTTAAACTATAAAAAGACATGAACAAATAACTTGCTATAAATTGGATACTCAAAAAGAATTAAGTCTTTTAAAAAACACTTTACAATTAAAGTTTTATGTTTTATTTCATTTGCTGCATTTTTACATTTCTTATGTCTACACTTTTATGTATTAAAACTTTTTTTATTTTAATCAGTTTATAAAAAAATTTATCAGTTTAAGAAAAATACACGAATTTTAAATAGAAAAAAATACAAACAGGAATGATAAAAGTAGTTTAAAGGATGTTTTCTTTTTGTATTTTTAATTTTTATTTTTTGTTTTGGGTTTAAAGTAGTTTTTTTGTTTAATTTTATTTGAAATTACGCTTGAAATATTTTTTCATAATAAATTTAAAAAATAAAGTTAACAATTTTTCAAAAGGGTACCATGTAACTCATAAAACTTATTTAAAATAAATACTTTTGAATAAGTTAACATTTGAAAATTAGTTTAAATGAGTTTAAATTTGCAAATTAGCTAAACAATATTAATCTTGTTGTTTTTACGGTGCTTCAACAGTTTGTTTTCCCTAATCCATAATGGTAGCTTCAAAAATTCGATTTGTCACGTGACCTCCGACTCCTAGATAAAATATTTTCTTCTCTTTATAATTTTGTTTGCTGGTGATACATATTTTATAGATAGTATTGGAGAAAAATTGGTTCGGTCAGTATTACCAAGAGTGCTTTCTAGCTGATAAATTGATAAATTGTTTTCTTTGCTGGGTTTATTTATAGCAGGAAAAAAATAAAACTTTTTTTTTCTGAAAAATGATTAAATCGTGGCAGTAGATTCACTGGTATTCTTATTGTTAAAAGTTTTTTCTTTGCTTTTTGCAACTTTGCAGAAAATACAAAAATTGATGGCACATCATTTATTTTAAATCGGGTTTAAGATAATGATCAACACATGAAGTATTTTTTTATATGGGATACTGTAATTGTAATCTGATTCTGAAAAATGATCGCTACATATACAAGTATATTTGGATGTAAAAAAAATTTCACATTTCAAAGCAACAATTCATGCTTTACATAACTCAGAGTTCTTTAAAGAATATTTATTGAAGGATTTCGTGTCGTTTTTTCCATATCTACTAGAATATCCAAACACAGCACAAAGTTTAATCATTTTTATGGTCAATCTATCAAAAATAAATAGCTAATTTAATAAAAGCTTCAGCAAGATAAAGCAAATGATGCCAGTTATTGTATACTTATTTTATGCGATTTTTACTGTTTCTGCCCGATATAATGGCCGATTAAAATAGTAAACAAAAAAATCGGCTTCACTTGCTGTTAATAAAAAAACCCCGGAGTTAGACATCAAGTTATTTATTATATGTCATTGGTTTTAACATAAAACGGTGAAACACAAATTATATATTAAAAATAACTTAATTCTTATAATTCTTAAATAAAAAATTCTTAATTATTGGTGAAACAATCGAAACTAAAAACTAAAACTTTGTGACGTTTTCATAACTATTTCACGTTTTCAACACAACGCTAAAACTTTAATTTTCACGTCCGGCCGAGAACTTTAAAACGCAACTAGGGCTTTACCCTGAGCTCACGCATGCGCTTTATCAACATTTTGTCTTCAGAGGTTGCGGTTGCAGTTGGCGTTTCGATTTCGTAAAGTCGCGTTTTGATTTCGTAAAGTCGGTAATTAAAACTGACCATTAAAACTCAGTTTTAAACTCTATTACCATTAAAACTCAGTTTTAAAATTGTCTAAGGTTGCACGGGAACACTTTTTGAAATTTGTTATGATTTTAACTAATGCCTCATTTTCAAAATTAGCCAATCAGATTGTGCATATCTTTGAATATTTTAGGCCTGGATAGGGTTTTAAAATATGCATATCGTATTGACGTATGTTTTGTTCCGAGAAAAACTAATTCTTGGAAATTAAATAGCATTTCAGTTACGCTAATTAAAATCGTTATTGAATTTACTAACTTTCAGATTGGAAAAAGCAAACAAGATTTCTAAAAGTAAGTAAAAATTTTTTAGCAAACAAGATTTCTAAAAGTAAGTTAATTTAGACTATAAAACATAAACTTGTCGACGTAAAAAAAAAATTATTTCTTACTTGAATTTAATTATTTAATTTTAACATAAAATTTTGTATCATTTATATTATTATATTAATGTTTTTTTATTTGTTCAAGATTTTTGATATTTGGGGGCCTATATATAGTTTAATAGTTTAAAGTATGTAAAAGTTTCTCAATGTATTTTTAAACCTCAAGTCTACAATTTAACATAATGTTTGAAAAATATACCTAACTTAAAATATTTAGCGAGTTTTATTGTGTTAAATTAATACAAATGATAAAAATACTGCTTATATTATTTTTTATTACTTTTTAAACTTAAAAATTGGCAAGTGTTTTACAACAATTTAATTTAAGTAAAGTTGCAAAATACAATATAAATAGACAATATACAATGTAAATAGACATACCTGTACATGTCAGGGCCATAACAAAAATTATATTATGGAGGGGGAGCAGTACTACCCGGAAATAGTTTTAAGGACCTTTTTTTTTTTTTAGTCATTTTTTTAGTCAATTTCTTCAAAATTATTTATTTCAAAAATTATTGTGTGTATGCATATCTTTTCATAACTAGCCTTGTATAAAATGTCATTGTTGATGCCCTAACAAAATAAGGAGCTGTAGGACCTCAGCACATACATCGGCTGAGGGTTTGACTTTGGGTAGATACTATCTAGATATAGATATATAGATATATACATATACAAGTTTGTCATGTTGGCTCTCAAATGAAGAAAAAGTATTTAAAAAAGCTTTAAAAGTAATAATTTTTGGGCCCTGTAAGTTTCTTTTTTTGACAGTATTAGGGAACTGGTAAATATTCAATGGTCTGTCCCTGAAAATTTTTTTACATAAAGTTTTTGCAAAATCTATGCATGTATGATAAAAGTTAAGAACCTTTTTTTAATTTTAAAATTGAAAAGTATAAAAGCATAAAAATAAAAGTATTCCCCTAAAAACCAATAATATAAAATTAAAACTATATTTTTATAAACTCATGGATTCAACTATTCACAAGTTAGAAGGTAATATTTTTTAGAAACTCATGGATTTAACTATTTACTAGTTAGGAGGTAATATTTTTTACAAATTATTGATGGAAGATTTAAAATAGTAACAAATTTTCTCAAACTTTTTTTTTTAATTTATTTTATTTTTAATTAAATCATTTTTTAATATTAGATTTTTTTAAATATAATTTTATCCACAGCATTGTTCAACATTGCTGCATCGCTTATTGCCATGCAACTTTTAAAATTTTATAAAAGTTCATGGAATAACTTTTTTTTTTTAAAATTTTCGACTAGAAAATAATTGGTTTTTTTTTAATTTAAAGCAAAAACTGTCATTTAAAGGATTGTAAAGCTGCACTCTTCTAGAATCCGGTCTTTTAATAAATTTGAATAACTAAGCAAAGTCACACTGCTGTAATTAATACAGATCTGCAAACCGCTAAGCACTGCAGCATAATTAATGTTGAATTTTTTTATTTTTCAGTCTATGAAAAGACTTTTGTTTTCAGTCTATGAAAAGACTGGTACTATTCTTTTTTTGATTTCTTTTAAATTTTTTTTTTTTTTTTTTTTTTTTTAAATACTTCTTATTTTTATGTGAATCATTTTACAAAATAAAAAAGTTAATAATTTTTTAAGTAAATAATTAATTACATAAAATAATATTATAATATTATTTAGTGTAACTTAATTAACATTTAATAATACTTAATAATAAAATAAAATTTTTAGAAAAATATTTTGCTTGCAACTTGTAGAAATAAGCCTTAGCCAGGTTCTTAAGTGATAAAAATAGTCAAACTGTTGTTTGCAGTAACAGTTTCAAGCATGCAATTAAATTAGTTGGTATATTTTCACAGAATTTAAGTATAGAAAAGAACTTTTGCAGTAAAATGCTGCGTAAACCTTTTTCTTATAAAATTTTGTTTATTTTACAAACATATATTTTTTATATGAAAATACTTCAATAAGGTAGTTTTGATAAATAGTGCTGAAACTTTAGCTCTTTAAGGTTTAAACTTCTTTAATGAGGTGATTTTGATGCCGCTGTTGGCAATACATCGGTCTTCCAATTGTGTTACTTGAACATTGTAATGTTTAAGTAACTCAATTGGAAATTCAATCTCTTGATTTGTTGTTGATTCTTAACAGCACCTAATTATTACAGATATATTTAATAATTACATTTATCAAAACGTAACAATGGAAAATATTTTACTTTTTAAAAACTGACAATTTGAATCACTTGTCCCATTAAGTAAAGAAGACTGTAAAAAATTAAAATCAATAAAAGTTATTTGAGATTTCTGTGTTTTTTTTTTAAATGAAAAAAGTCAAGATTTTTGTAGTAGACTTAAATTATCTGACAAAATTTTTTTAGAAAGAATAAAAAATCACTTTGAATGAATAAAATTTCAAACAAATGTCATTGTAAATAACTGAAGGATGTCTAATTAAAAAAAAATTGTAGCGAATTAAAATTACTTAAGCCAAAACTTCTAATAAGAGCCTCTTGATAAACTAGGACTACCATGTGTGTTTGACAACGTTGAACACCACTATTCATGTACATTACAGAAGATTTTTTTTTTCTTTCATTTACATCAAAAATGTTGATTATAACTTTCAAAAAGGATCCTCCACTATCCATAAAAATTTGTACAAGTGCAAAAGAAACGTCTAAATCACATTGATTTATCAAATCTATTGTGAAAGATGATGAATCTTGAACATACACAAGATCCTTTTCAACAATTTCTTAACTTAAAGGTTAATGAAAAACACAAAATATTTAGGTAAATTATTCAAAATCTAATTTGTATATCATTCAACTTTAAATAAGCTTCACTATTTTACAAATATTATATTATATATATGTACATATATTAATGGTTAATATATATATACATATATTAATTAATATTAATTATATGTACATATATTAATTAATATTTTTCATTAATATATATGTACATATATTAATGGTTACACATTGTATAAGTACATTTTGTAATAAATAAACATGTTTAGCCATAACAAATAATACTTATATATATATATATATATATATATATATATATATATATATATATATATATATATATATAATATATATATATATATATATATATATATATATATATATATATATATATATGTATATATATATATATATATGTATATATATATATATATATATAAATATATATATTATATATATATATATATATACATATATATATATTTATATATATATATATATATATATATATATATATATATATATATATATATATATATATATATATATATATATATATAAAATATATATATATATATATATATATATATATATATATATATATATATATATATATATATATATATATATATATATATATATATATATATATATATATATATATATAGCATCCTAATTGGCGACTTTCGGGGACATATTATTTTTGTTCCCGTTCTGTTGTTTTCTTTTACTTTTTTTATACTATTTTTATCATATTTATATATTTTTCTATTTTTTATTGTATTTCTATTTTTATTTATACATATTTAATTTTATTATTTTATTATAAAAATATATTAGTTTTTTTTATTTATAATTATCTTTTTTATAATATATTTCATTTTTAACTTCATCTATTTACAAAAACAATTAATTACAATAATATAACCAAATTTAAACCTAGCCGTAAACCTAACCCTAAGCCTGACCTTGATGCCTGGCTAAACCAAACCCTCAGTCAATGTAGCAGCGCTCGCTTGCGAGTCAGGCTATTTGTCAGTCGATGTATGTACTTTTCGTTTTTTTGTAAAATCTGTCCCCGTAAGTGCTAAACTATACACACAAAAAAAAAAAAAAAAAATATATATATATATATATATATATATATATATATATATATATATATATATATATATATATTTAACGTTTATGGTTTTACACTTGTTTGGCTAGGACATATTTTTCTTAATGGCATTTTATATATTTATATGGCTTATGGAAGAGTTAAAGCAACGTTTTTTGCAACCAAATGTCTTTCCTGGTGTTAACCTGTTATGCAAATTGGGAATATATTTTACAACCACTAGGAAGATTATTATTCAAAGTAATAAGCCTAAAAACCCTGATCTAATATAAGATCTATCTTATCTGATCTAATATAAGATCTGATCTGATCTAATATAAGATCTATCTTACTATAGGATAAGGATTTTTTATTCACAGTGAAGGATCTCTCTCTTTTTACATATCATTTTATATTAGAAAATCTAACATCATAAAAAAGCAACGTTTTTATCAATATATTACTAGATATCTTTAAATAATATATAAATATGAATATTTAAAATATAAATTACCTTTTCTACATGATAAAAATGTGATATGGATTCCGAAAGATCATTTAACATGCCAAAATGTTTCTACAACAGTCTTACTCCCTATTCTTTTCCGAAGAGTAGAAACTAATTGTTTGGTCTTTTTATTAGAAAGTTCTAATATGAGTTGAAGTTCCTTTACAACTTGTAAAGATACTTGTTTAACTGATCTTCTATTTACATTGTTAGAAGGACATCCAACAGTTACATCCAACGAGTTTTTCCCAGTTGATAAAGAAAATGTTGTCCCTGTTGAAACGCAGTCTACACTCATTTTATTTTGTATTATACCTGAAGCAACTTGTTCAGCTTGAATGTTCCTTAGACTTTTGAAAAGAAAAAGTTTTTTACAGCAGTTGAAGAAGAATAGTTGTGGGCATGTCCTGCTGATAAGATTAAGTAGCATTGTCCACAAAGCTTTGAATTATTGGCAGAAAAAGATACAACTAGTTTGGTTTCACTAATTGGGAGCATTCCATTTGAATTTCTGGTCAACATTTTCCATCCAACCTATAAAAGTGAAATACAAAATTATGTAAATATAAGTGCTTCATTAAAATTTACAATTTGCTGTAAATAGTAAAAGTATATCTATTTTAATAACAAGGTTAAAAATAAATTTTTTTTTTCTATCTTATTATTATTAAAGCGTATTTTTTTATGACTATTGATTTCTATATAGGTAGTATCTATATCTAAAGAAATTAATATTAATAATCTTAAAACCTAATAGCTTAAAAAAACTTGACAGAAATAATGAGTTTAAAATATAGTTTTACATTCTACCTTTGATACTTTCTCTCCCCACAAGCCTCTGGGTGTATTACCGGACTTGATCATGTAAAGATTTCTTCTACAACTGGAACAAACTACAGTTGGGTAATAGCAAATTTCCAGGGAATAACCAGGATATATATGCAGCTTCATCAAATCTTCTATTGTTGAATTTACAGGAGATAAAGACAAAGACCTTGCTCCAAAAAATTCCCAGCAGCAATAACAAGTTGCATTTTGTTGAAAAGAAGTAGTTGACATGCACACAGCCATTTAAATTGATTGAAATCATTGTGAATTATATCCAATAAAAATGCAAACTTAATATAACACCATTAAGTTAAAATATTTTATCTTGAGAAAACTTTAATTTAAATTGCAATCTTAAAAAAAACTAATGCAAAATTCCTTTTATATAAAGTTACTAATTCAGCAAAAATTAGTGTAACGCTTAACTAAAAACAATTAAAAAATCTTTTATAATTAAACAGCCTGGATTTTATTTTCCCATTAAAAAATTTACTTTAAAAAGTTGCCTAATTTATTATTATTAATTTATATTTATATATAAATAGAAATTACAAAGCGGCTATTAATTTCATTATTTAAAAAATATTTTAACTTCTTCTAATAAATTTGTTAATTAATTTAAAATTGATGTTAATAAAAACCAGGTATTTTAAATGTTGTAAGAAGTTTGGTTAAATTATGTAAGTTGCAAAAAAGATATTCAAAAAGTTGTCGAATTTCATCATTTTAATGTATAAAGTTTTAGTTTCAAATGTAAAATAGAGAACTTTCCATTAAATTTCAAGCGTATGTTCTATATAATTATAAAATCATAATAAAATTTGCTATCATAATCATTTATAAAAATGTGAGCTAGAATCTTCTGCATTGCCCTTTTCTTGCCCTTTTTTGACCCTTTGCACCATATTCAGATTTTAAAAAACTCTTTTTTTTAAATTTAACTTCTAATATTCTTAAATAAAAAAAAACTGTATGAGTGACACCTAGCAGTCTCTTTGGCCAACCGTGTATGGTAACAATAACCAGTATTGCTTCATCGATTGGTACCGACATCAATTATAAAATCAATTTTTAAAAAAATCTTCCTAATCAAATTTTAAAACCAGCTATACTAAATTTAACAAATATTAATCTGGATAAGGCAACCACTAAACTACTTAATCTTGGTCCAAAGTTTGTCCTATCACAAAATATATCCCTTATATGAATATCATCACTAATATTAAAACTTGTGCCTTACAACTTAGCAACAAAATAAACAAACACAGGCAGAGATTCTTCGACAAAACTGTTTGAAAATCCTAGTTCTTTAAAATTAATACTAAAAGATAGTTTAACAAAACAACAAAACGCTTTTCTTTACAGAGCCTAATAAAATATTCACATCTAAAGATATATCCATTTGATAAAGGAGTAGATTTTGCTTTATTATACGAAAATAAAGCAAAAGATAAATTAGAGGAACAAATAAAAAATAATAAAATTATTGATTATGACCCAGTACCCACATTCACTACTAAATTTCAAAAACTGTTACATAAATAAAGAAAACAGGGTAAGTTAGATAATGCCAATTAATTTAAAATGTATCCATCAGATTGCGTTCCACTTAGAATCTACGGAATGGTTAAAGCTCACATACCAGAAAAAAACTACCTAATGCGTCCTGTTATTTCCATTATTAACACACCACCTTATGAAACATCAGAGTATCTGGGTAAAATTATTCAACCAACATTAAATAAAAATACAACTAGACTAGTTAATTCAAGTAGTTTTGTCAACAATACTAAAGAATGAAAGATAGGCCCTAATCAAATTCAAGTTTCATTTGATGTAGTAAATTTTTATCCATCTGTACCAATCAATGAAGCAATACCGGTTATTGTTAACATATTGAAGAATGATTTGGAGGATTTAAAAACTAAGACTAAATTAACTCTTTTAGATATTTACTAGTTAATTGAACTTTCATTAAGCAAATGTTACTTTTTATACAAAGATAAAATCCGAATTTCACCTAATTCAGGTCCAATTGGTTTATTGTTGATGGTAGTCATAGATGAAGCATTTTTGCAAAATATAGAAAAAAGAACCCTTAATATAGCCTTTGTTAATTCATTCCAACCAATAACTTACAAAAGATATGTAGACGATACCCATGCTCACTTCAAAACAAAAGAAAAACAAGAAATATTTCTTAAAACTTTAAATGAACAAAACCTTTCCATAAAATATACTGTTAAACTTGAAAACAAAAGAAAACAACTAAACTTTTTAGATATTTCTATTACAAACACAATGAACAGATTTTATGAATTTCAAATACACCAAATAAAACCAAACTCTAACATCAACCCAAGCATAATCACTGGTGTCTTTAAAGGATTTCTATGTAGAACGAAACAAATCTGCTCTAAAAAACATCTCTCACAAGAAATTGATTTCCTCATAGATACATTCTTTCAAAATGATTATAACAAAAGTTATCTTATTAAAATAACCAAAAACTATTAAGACTGCGTTTTAAAAAATACTACATCTATACAATTGGATAAGGAATTTGTTAAACTACCTTGGATACCTATTATTGGCCCTAAACTCTAAAGAGAATTTAGAAAGCAAAACATCATAGTGATGTTTACTTTAGCCCCCAATTTAAATAACATACTGTGCAATAACAAAACAAAACTACCACCGAACTCAAATCCGGGTGTTAACGAGCTTCAATGCTCATGCGAAAGTATATATATTGGTGAGACCAAAAAGAAAATTACTTCAAGAAGTGCAGAACACCAAAGAGCCTGTAAAAATCAAAAATCGTCAAGTTCAGGAGCCGCAGAACATTCTAGAACATGCCGAGGTACTTTTGATTGGCTGAATCTTAAAACCTTGGCAGTCATTCCAGAATACAAGATAAGAAAAGTTAGAGAATCCTTGGAGATAAATAAAGCAAAACACGAGATAGGTTTTGGACAAACTGTTCCAAATAGAGATGACGGGGATAATGTGAAAACAAAAGCTTGAGGACCAATTTTGACAAAAATTTAACTGACGTCACTTTTATATTATTTGATTGGTTTTTATATTTTACGCTTTTTAATGTCTTCTTTTTTAAACGGTTGGTTTTTTGATATTTTTTAACATTGTTGTTTCATTACCTAATGATGCTGACCACAACAGGTCAGCGAAATACCGTTAATATATTATTATATTAAAATATATTTAAAAAATAGTTATACGCTGCCTTTTTTTATTGAGATCAATTTATATATTTATATATGTATATATATATGTATATATATATATATATATATATATATATATATATATATATATATATATATATATATATATATGTGTGTAGCATCCTATATAAAAATAGTATAAAAAAAGTAAAAAAAAACAACAGAGCGGAAACAAAAATAACATGTCCCCAAAAGTTGCCAACTAGGATGCTATATATATATATATATATATGCGGTATATGGGGTAGTGGTGTAGTGGTAGAGCGCTCGCTTCATAAACGAGTGCTTCCAAGTTCGATCCCCACCACGTCCCTGGTAGTACCGCGCTCAACTCGTTTCTCCGCGCAGCGGCCTTGTTCGTCAAGGTTCGTGTTTCGGAGTTATAGAGTTGAGAGAGGGTTATAGCCACAAAATAAGTAGCCTCCTCATCTGTAGTGGCCTTCTCAGCCTTGAGGAGGTGAAGCAAAATAAAAAATATAAATATATATATATATATATCTGTGTGTGTGTGTGTGTGCGTAATATATATTAGTTTATATTTTACATTTCTATATTAACTATTAACATGTTTTAACTTAGGTTTAAGATTGCAAAATTTACAAAATAATGTTCATTATACTTGTTCTCCGTGCGGTAAGCATAACTGTTTTGTGTGTTTAACTAAATGCGAGGCTTGCAGAAACTTAAATTGTTCATGCAGAACAATAGAGTATGGAAATGAAATTTCGAGAGTGAAACCAAAGCCTAGTATCTACAATAATTCACTTATTAAAGTTGGGGGAGTTGGAGATTTTTGCGAAATAAAGTCTTTTAGAGATGCTAACTTACCAGAAGTACTAATTGAAAACCTTAGAAAGCTTTTATACAAGGTTCCTACACCTGTTCAGTCGATAGCAATACCAATATTACTAGAAGGCAAAGATTTAGTAGCTCGTGCAGAAACTGGATCAGGAAAAACGGTTTTTAATTATTTTTTTTAAATTATAACTATTATTTATATTTTAATTCATTTATTATTTATATAAAAAACATTTATTTATGAATTAATTCCTATAACCTAACAATTTTTAAGAGAGACTTTGCAAAAAGTAATTCATTTAATATTAATTCCTTTTTTTTTGTTTTTGTTAGTGATAAAGAAAGTGTTTAACTGTTCTGCTAAACTTGTGTAATCAATAAAGTTTTAAATGAATCACAAAATCATTAAGTTTGCAAATTGAGCACAAAACACATTTAATAATTTCAACTTGTTGATTTTAAATAACATTCATTTAAAACATTTTTAATGTTAAACCACTAAACTTTAGCATTTTAATTTCAACAAATAATGTTTTAATGTGCAATACTAATGTTTTAATGTATAACTTTAATGTCATCATCACTTCAGTAAAATTATTTTTAAATCGCTGAATCTTCCTTGTCAAAATCAAATTTGATAATCTTATATATAATTTGATGACCTTATATTTGATGATCTTATAGTCAAATAACCTGCATTTCTTTTTCAATATTATGCTCTGGTCTTTGAACACATTTTATACTCATAATATAGTTTTTATAGCTTCTCAAGGAAATACATTTTATAAAGTTTCAATTTTGATTTATTAGTCATTTAAAATAAAATCTTGTAATAAACAGTTTTTTACTTATTTTTTTCATTATGTATATTATGCATATACATTTATACTTATAAACTATATGGTTCCATAAAAAGATTTACCAAAGTTTGGTTAAAAAATTGATTATCTTATAAAATTATTATTTATTAAAGAATATATATATATATATATATATATATATATATATATATATATATATATATATATATATATATATATATATATATATATATATATATATATATTGCTTCTGCAACATATTCTACAATATGGAAAAACACTTGAAAAATTGTTTCTTCAAAATGGTTGTTTTTTGAAGAAACAGTGTTTCTTCAAAATGGTTATTTTTCTTTTGCATTTATTGGTTTGCAAATTTATTGATAGGCTCGTGTTTTTATTAATATGAAAATTAATTGGGCTGGTCATAAGGCTGAACACAAAAAATCGTGTTTGTAAAACTGATTGTCAAATAAACTAGACTATCTAGTCTAGTTTTCTGTAAAACTTATAGTCAAATAAACTAGACTATCTAGTCTAATTCTCTAGAGAATAAAAAAGAATAAAGAAATTTTTAATCATTTTGAGTATGTTTTTATGTATGGAGTTTTATGAAATATTAAGTATTAGTTATTTTAAAAAGAGAAAAACAATTTTTTTTGAAAAACTTAAATTTTAATTTTTAGTTGAGTTTGATTATGAAACAAAAAACAACTTTAGTATAATGATAAACGAGCATGTTTCTTAAGCAACTAGAGATATAAATAAAAGTATAACTTATTATTCAAAGCTTTATTATACTTTACTTGATATATGGTTTGATGAACAAAAATTATTTAGAGATTTTTTTTAACTTATCTCAGTTTTTGAGGGTATAACTAGATCAATTTAATAGAAGTAAATTTTTTGATACCAGACCAAGTAACACAGTAGTTTTTTATTATTAAGAAAATAGCTTGAAAAACCTCTAAAATATAAGAATATACAATCTTTTTTGTACTTACTTGTAATACTTATTTACTATAGCCAATATTTTATTAATGTTTTGATATTATAGAATTGATTAAGTTTTTACAGAGCAATTTAATGAAACTGAAATAACAAGCTCTAAGCAGAATTACTTTTTACTAATACTGCACTAAGTTTGAAAGTTACTTTAGAAATAAGAGGATTTAAATGAAAGAAATGTGAAGTATTAATTTATTACTATTTTTTTTTCAAAAAAGAACTTTTTTAGGTCTTCTCAAAGTTCCAAAAAAATTTATAAATGTAGATATCGCTGCTGCAAAGCAAAGTTATTCTAACTCCATTTTTGGCAAAAATGACTTTTTTTGGTTAGAAGTACTCCTTAGGTGCATAAAAAATATCTTACAATGTATGGAACCACAAATGATTAAATTTAGGCCACTATGAGCAAAATTCAAATATCTTATGTCCAAATAAAATTTAAAGAGACAAAACTATCCTATGTCCGTCTAGACTCAAGCAAGACCTTATATGTATTTATATGGAGTTTTTAAAATGTTAACCTAAACTATTTTTAAGGTATACTATCTTTCAAGTGATTTATTGTTTATAAAACATATCAAATTAATTATGACAGTGTTTCTAAATAATTTTTAGTAAGTTTCTACTAGAGTTCTACAAGAGTTTAGTAAGTTTTTACAATGATAATTATTAAACAGATTATGTATCAGTTTATATAAAATATTTTGACCTCGAGAGACCACTTTATATTTTCAAACTATCTATTTAATTTAACTGTTTACCTTTTACCACTTTGATTACATTCCACTTTGAGTTTATTTTTTTGGGAGTAAAGTTAAATAAACATAAGTGTCAGCTGTGTGATTCTAATTAGGCTGTTATAAAAAAATAAATGTTTTAATAAATTTAACCAATGTCGGTTCATACTTTTGACAAATATCACTTTACACTGCTTTTTGACATATCAATTTAAAAAAAAAAATTGAAAACACTTTTTAGTTAGTTAATGTGTATGAATTTACATCTCTTCATGTTAAGCTGGCTTTAATCCATTTTAAAGTAATTCCATTCCATTATTAATTTATTATCAAACATTATGCTAGATGATAACTATTAAACAATTAGTTGCAAGACGTTTTATGACATCCATAAAACATCCATTAGAGGTCTGAACACCCGCTGGGCATCTTTAGACATTCAAAGGACGTTCAGGTTTGAAAAAGTTCAAAGGTTTTAGACAAAAATCTTATAACAGTTTAAATTTTATGTTTATTGTAGGAGATGTCATCTACCTGTAAAAGAAATCTCGGTTGTGTTGGTGAACTTGGTGTTGACAGAATATTACTCTGAATATTATTCAGAACACAAGTTTTTAATTTTTTTACCACAATAAGCTAGTTCTGAAACTCTATAAATTTAAACTCTAAAAGATATCATTTAGAGTTACTTATTTGTAGGCATGAAGTTTTGAGCAAACTACTTGACAAATTTTATTTTAATTTTTCATGCCTGATGCTGTTAGTTTCAAGATAATAATATGGCATCTGTGACTGTTGCAACAATTAATTGTATTAAGTTGACGGAGATAATGTTTTGGTAGTTTCAAATATGCTAATAGTTAAATGCAACAAAGCAGGTTTATAAAATATAAAAAGTGTAATTCAGTATATATTTTTTACTAATTTATAGCAAATATTTACAGTAGTAATTTATTTTAAGACATAGTTTGTGCTTTGCAGAAACTATGGTTTTCGATTAATTGTAAAAATATGATAGTTTCAATTAGATGACTTCATTATGTTTTAAATTATTTCACAGGATACAGTAAACGATCCTATTCAAACTATGACTTATCAATAAAAATTTTGAAACAAGACTTGGATAATGGCAAAGATGTCTACCTGACATTTGTGTTTTCAGCAGAACTTTTGATGCTACTGCTGAGTAAAAAAATACTTTTACTGAGTAAAAAAATACATTTCAAAAAATTCTTTTCAGAATATGTAAAAAATCTTGATGAGACCTGGAAAGGCATAAAAAGCCTAATAAATATCAAAAATATCAATAATTCTTTCTAACATTAGCAAGCTTCTTGAAAAACTAATGTATCCCGACGGGCATTTGTTTTTAAAAGTTACGTTCTAAATGTGTTTTAAACGTCTTTTAAACAATAATGTTTAAAAGACGTTTAAAAGACATTTAAAATACATTTAGATTGTAATTTTTAAAAACAAATGCCCGTCGGGATTCTAAATTATACTCGTTTTTGAATTCCTTAAACTGTTTAAATGAATTTCAGTTTGGATTTTGATCAAAACACTCTACTTTGCTTTAATAAGTATAATCAAAAAAATAAAAAAGGCACTGGGTACTAGTCATTTTGTTGGTGGTGTTTTTTGACTAACAAAAAGTATTTGATACCGTTAATCATATTATTTTAATTTCTAAACTTGAAAATTACGAAATCCGAGGAGTTGCTTGTAATTGAATTCAATATTATCTTTCAAATCGAAAACAGTTTCTAAGCATTAATGGTTACAAATCAAATAACAAACATATAGTTTGTGTTTTATAGTTTTGTCATATAGTTTTATCAAAATAATTTTATCATATAGTTTTATCAAAAACAATAAAGGGCCAAGAACAGAACCCCAGGGTTCTGTTCTTGGCCCTTTATTATTTTTGATTTATATTAATGATCTAAATAACTCTGTTCACTTTTCATCAGTCCATCTGTTTGCTGATAATGCTAATATCTTGCATATTAATAAGTCTCGACATTCCTTGTGTAAGAATATAAACTTAGACTTAAAAGGTTTAGTTCATTGGCTAAATGCAAACTTAATTTCTCTAAACTTGGAAAAAACTAAACTAATATTTTTTTCATCTTCAAGACAAAAACTTTTATACAACATTTATATAACTAAAATTAAAATTAATAATAGACATTTATATCCAACTCACATTGTTAAATATCTTGGTATTTTTAGATTCGAACTTCTCATGGAATTTTCATATAGATGCACTCCATAAAAACTTAATTGAGCTAATGGCATGCTTTCAATAAATTTGCCAGTATGTTGATAAAACTACCCTTAAGAATCTGTATTTTGCAATTTTTCAATCTCATCTTAACTACTGTTGTCAAGTTTGGGGACAAATTAGCAACTGTAATATTAATAAATTATTATCAGCTCAGTGCCAATCAATCTGAATAACTAATTTTCAACTTCATAATACAGAAACTTTAAAATTTTCAAAAAACTTAAAATTCCTTGTCAGCACTTTTTAAACTTGTTAATCTTCTTTTTGTTTTTGACTCCCTTAATAAAGATTTACCAACCTCTATTACAACCTCCTTCACTGAAACTCAATTTATATATTCACATTTAACTAGAAACATCAATAATGGAAAACTAAATGCACCTCCCTATAAACTTTGAGATATGGTAAGTATTCAATTACGCATCAGTATATCAGTGAATGGAATTGAAGTCTTGTGTGCAATGTGAATGAGTTTGAAAAGTTAAAACTTCAAAATAATTTATTTAAAACAAAATAAATTTAAACTAATTCTAAAAAAAATGTTTTGTTTTAGTTATTAATAACTTCTCTTTAATTATTATTAACTTCTTATTAATCACTTCCTTTAGTTTTTTTTTGTTTTTTTTTCTTACTATTTCTATAGAAACTTTATTGCTTTTGTCATTAATGTTTATTATTTTCATTACTGCTGTTTTTATTATTATTATTATTATTATTATTATTACTATTATTATAAATACTATTACTTTTGTTGTTACTTTTGCTCTATTAATGAATAAAGTTATTATTGTTATTATTATCATTTTTTAAATTAATATTATTAATATAATTATTTGGTGTCACTCCTTTGATCGTGATTCTGCATGAGTGACTCCTTCCTCAATCAATTGTTTATGTTTATTCATAAAAATTATATTTTGATTTTAATATTTATAATATTATAGATATTCTTCTTCTTATTATTACTATTATTATTATTGTTATTATTATTATTATTATTATTATTAATATTATTATTATTATTATTATTATTATTGTTATTATTATTATTATTATTATATTATTTTTATTATATGGTTCTAAATTTTGAGGAAAATAAATATCTTGTTGTTGTTGTTGTTTGTTGTTCTACGGAATGTATGAGTTCCGCTTGTTATACATATCACACTGTTACATGTCACAAATCTATGTTGTTTCTTGATATTAGGAAACTTTAGTAATCTGTATGTAGCTGCTATTAAAAGTTACTTTAAATGGTAACATTATTTTTAAACAGTGATGCTGTCCATAGAGAGACAATACCTGAAGATTTTAGAAAATTTATTATAATAAAAGTAATAAAAAACTTTAAATATCTTTAATAAAAATAACTTTAAATAGTTTATAAAACTAGTATTGGTGCAGCAATACTTTCAACCTCAGTGATTGTAATAAATTTAAATCTGTTGAAAATCTGGCATTGAAGAATTTATTCCAAATCTGTTATACAACCCCATAAAAATTGTGATGGGAAACACCCATCACAATTAGAAACATGAGAAAATGTAACGTAAACACAAGATAAATATTTCCTCATGTACAAAAAAGTAATCCAAATGAAGGAAAAGAAGTAGTGGTTGAGGGTGATAAAATGCAAAAAGGATGTAGCAAGAAAATGTGTAAAAAATCTAAAAGAAAAGAACTCTTTAACTTATATTGGTCAATGTATTGATGAGAGGTGCCAATGCATTGCAAGAAAATGATGCTCTTGAAAGCGTACCTGTGTATCCGTGTTTCTTGATACTTTTGGCATACCATAGCAGACAGTAAAAATAGCAATGGCAAAAAAGAACTGCTGCAGGATGTGTAAGGAAAGATTTAAGAAGTCACCACAAAAACCAAAGAAATTAGCAATTGGATGAGAACAAAATGTCATCAATCGTATTCAGACATTTTGAGTTGTTAAACCCCACTAGGTGAGACACACAGAAAAATCATAGTTTCTTCCTCAGGAGCTTTTAATAAAAGAAATGCATAAACTCTTCATAAAGTACTGTAGTGAGAAAAATCTTGTTTTTGAGGTTATGTGGGCCAGTATTGTACAGCTAAAAGTTTTAAAAGGAAATCCTTATATTCTTTACTTTAAATGCAGTTATTAGTTAAAAATTGTATTTTTTGATCAAAAATGACTGGTCACACAAAACCAGCAGCAAATATAAACTTACAAAATCAAAAGTATCTTATTTTCAGTGGAAATCTACTGAAAATAAAGATCTTTTTCCCTATGAAACAAAAGTTATATTTCAAAACAGCATCATCATTTCTTCCAAAATCTATAAATTCGAGCCAGTTGTATGAATGATGATGAAATACCAAAGCAAAAACTCAAAAGTCATAACAAAGCAGGCCATTAAACAACCAAAAAGGATTGTGCAGAGCTTGGTTTCTACCAATTAGAAAAGTAATTAAAGTATACATTTAGCAGCAGCTAGATATTATAAAATGTTTAATGATTGTTTTTTAAATGATTGTTTTTTAAATGAAAACTTTTTAACTTTATCTTATGTCCAAATAAAATTTAAAGAGACAAAACTATCCTATGTCCGTTCTAGACTCAAGCAAGACCTTATATGTATTTATATGGAGTTTTTAAAATGTTAACCTAAACTATTTTGAAGGGCATACTATCTTTCAAGTGATTTATTGTTTATAAAACATATCAAAATAATTATGACAGTGTTTCTAAATATTGGTTTTATTTTTTTTATATATAAGCATTAAACATTGGTTTTATTTTTTTTACATATAAGCATTTTTAAATTTTTTTACATGTCAATGATTCCATCACTAAATGATTATTTTGAAACTATTTTGATTATTACCGCTAACTAACCTAATAAAATAAAAGAGTATAAGTTAATCAATTGCATAAAATTTATAGACTTAAGATATTTAGTTTGTAGAGTCTTCCATTTTCATCTTAAATTAATTTGACTTAAAAAAACTTATAAACTCTAAGTTTTTAAATTTTTTTTTTTATATTATGAAAAATAATAAAATTTGCTATAAACAGTCTAAAAAGAATTAGGTTTAACCAAAAAAATCAAATGCAGTGATAAATTTAAAACTTTAAATGCCTTTTTTCTGAACAGCATAAAATGAACTTAAGATAGTCTTGTTTTGTAGCATTGATATAATATTTTTTTTCTACAAATTTTGAACTTTGTTGTAAATTAAATGCTTTATTATTATTGTTATTATTATTATTATTATTATTATTATTATTGTTGTTATTATTATTATTATTATTATCATTATTATTAATATGCTTGTAGTTATTTTAATCATCATATTAGTTTTGAATTTTGTTGTATAAATAGTCTTCTTTATTTTTAAGAAAAAGAAAGCAATTCTTCTCTTTTTTTTCTTGTTTTTGTTATCTTGTATAAACTTTGTACAAGTTTTTTTTTTTATTTGACAGGCTGCATTTTTAATACCAATTGTTTCAACCTTAATTAAAAGAAAAACAGTGAATTCAATGAATCCATTTGCTGTAATTTTAACTCCCACACGAGAATTGGCTTTACAAATTGAGAGAGAAGCTTTGTTGTTGACAGAAAATACCTTTATAAAGCCAGTATGTACCTATGGTGGAATAACTATTGGTCATCAGAAGAAAAAAATTGCAAAAGGCTGTGATATACTTATTGGAACCCTTGGAAGAATCCTTCATCTTGCTAAACAATCAATGGTATAACATCAGTTTTTTGCTTACAATTATATTTTTTGTGTTAAATTATTTAAAAAAAAAACAAGTTATTTTGTTTTAGCTCTCCTTAAAAGAACTCAAAATACTTATTATTGATGAGGGAGATCATATGCTAGATAAAAATTTTGTTAAAGATATTGGAAAATTAGTGCATGACTTTGATATGCCTGAAAAATCTCTACGACAGACTGCTTTATTTTGTGCAACAATACCGACTACTCAAATAATCCATGATGACAAAGGAGTTAAAAAAAAATTAGCATTTTTTACTGATACTGTTTGCATGTTTTTAAATGATACATACTGTCATGTAGATGTTGGTAACAATTTGGTTACACCAAAATCCATAATTCAACAATTTTTGTTTGTAGATAAACTGGAATTAAAATTTCAATTATTAGAAAAAAAAATCGCTGAAGAACTATCAAATGAAAATAAAACTATTGTTTTCATTGAAACCATTAAAGAAACAATAAAAGTAGCTCAACAGCTGTGCATTAAAGATTACCCTGTAACAGTTATTCATGGGTAAGTATTGGGATTTGTAAGCATTTTTGTTTTTTATTCTTTTTATATTTTAATTTTACTTGGAGAATGTCTCCATAAATGAAAGTTCTTAGTATGCCGAATGTTTTGAAAAAGTCTGACTTTTTGTAAAATGTTATATAATATATAAATATATATAGAACTACATAACCTTATTTTAAATATATTATGTAGTATCTATTGTATATACTACAGTTACAACCAAAAGATTCAACCACAAATAATTTTTATGAATGATTACTTATATTTATAAGTATATTTCATAAAAAGCAGAGTATACTTGCTGGCAACACACTAAACAACCCCACTTAGCATAAGTGATTTCTAGTTATAAATCGATATGAAAATGTATGCAATAAAATGTATGGTGTATGCAATATAATCTATTTTAATTATTGTAATTTAATCATTATTATCTTAGAGAACAGCATGCCAGTATAGCTATCACTTTCTAAACATGCTCAAGTACAACCTTTAATGGAAGATGGCAAAAGGAATGAGTGCTGCATGTTTGAAGATATCTAAAAAGTTTGTTTATGATATCGTTCAGAATATCAAGTCAACAGACTTGATATTCTGAACAATATAGAAAACTCCTACATAAGATCAAGAACTGTTATTCTAAAAACTAATAACAAGATACATTGTTTGGCTGTGAAGTACAGATTTCAAGCTCAGGAATTCTTATTCATATGCCTGCTAGTGGTGGTGTAATATGCTATCAGGAAAAAGACAAGATATGGCTGCAAGAAAATGTAATTAATATTCTTGCTTGATAGTTAAGCAGTTTACTTGATTTAGACTATTAAAAACTGTTTGGTAAAATTGAAAGAAGAACTTTTTAGACATAACCTAATCTCATGAGCAGATCTAAGAAAAATGAAAGTGAGGTATCATAAAATAAAACCCAAGTATTATTTATAAAATAAAACCCAAGTATTACTGTTATCTCAATGCCACAAAAAATAGAGGCTTTTATAAAAGTTTGAGGAGCCCATACAAAGTACTAAAACATGTTTTAAACTGTAAATTTTATATTCTTTCATGTTTATGTGTTTTTTTGTTTTTTTAGTATGTACACTATCCAGTACAAAAATGGTTTTTTGCTATAAATTTTGTTTGGTCAAATCTTTTTGGTCATAGTTGTATACAGTTTATAATAAATACTATATACACAAAAAATTTGAAATTAATGTTTGTTTCATTGAATCACAACTCTTTTTCAGCTTTGAAACATTCAAAAAAAAAATTCTAATTTTCTTCTAATTTTATAACTTTAATTTAATATTATCACATTTAAAAATTGACCAATGAAAATTGACAAATCAATGGCCATTTTATAAGTATTTTCTTCCCTTTTTTTCTTCTCTTACTTCTTCCTCAACTACCTCAATAATTTCTTGAACAGTTTCTTTTTCTATCATTACTCTACCCATAGCCATAATATCATTGTCATATATGTATTCATAGGTAAATTCATTCAGAACAAGATTCTCATCATACATCTGTAACAGGTTGGTTGAACTTTTTAATTCAGAGAAGCAATCTATCAAATAATTCTTCCTTAAATCCTGCTTTGCAAAAGCAGTTAACAGTAACTGTTTTTGAAACATAAGAACCAACCATTTTTGAGGCATCAAGTATAGAGGTTGAAGACATTTTTTTTTGTCAATAGCATTTAAAATTTTGTTAATTAAATGTGTACATTTTTATGTGTTAGTTGAATATATGCATTGTAATGATCCTATGAATCCATGATCCAATAAGAAGGCTGCAAATAAGAAGTTGTATTTGGGGAAAGAAAGTAGAATTTGACTGATTTAAAATTCTCAATGTTTTGATAGTTAAGTGCTATTATCAATAGAAAAATGCTACCTTACAGCCTTCTAATGCAAACTTTCTGTTGTATTTTCTGACTCTCTTCAAATAGCTCAGCAATTCATCCAACTCTTTTTTTGTACACAGTAACATCACAGAGTGCTTTTAATTGTAACAAGGTTTATTTAGTTTCCTATTATAAATATTACAGTTTTTAAAGCACTGTTACCTGCAGTTTTATTTGTTTTTAATAAGTGCAAGGTACACAATTGCATAAAAAATATTTTACTTCAGCTTTTTAATTAAACTTTAAACAAATTAAAACTAAATGAATTAATTGGCGAATGATTGAATTTGGGTGAATGAATAAGAGTGAAAGTTCTATGGATATTATTCTTTCTTAGATATTAGATTTCTTAGACACTTTAAAATCCTAAACCTGGTTTTAAAAAAAAACATTTTTTTATCTAATCACCCATGAGATGCTTAAAAATTGTCACACCCAATTGTATTATATTCTTTTCCAAAATACAAAGTTTTGACTTTAAAAATTGTTCCATATACAATGAGACTTTCAACCTGTCTCTGTTTGAAGAGGTTTTATCTTTATTGTCTTCAGAATATATATATTCTTCACTTAACCATCCAGACAATGTTTCCTTAAGAACACTATATTTCTTTGATATGGGCGAAGATGATTCATTTTTTTCCCTTTCTTTTAGTATTTTGTATATTTCATGTAGAGTGTTGTTTTGAGCTTTACAACTACTTCAACATTTTATCTAGAATTAATCAAAATGAAGTAACTGCAAAATCTTTAGTTGAGCTATGATTGACACAAATTAATTTTCAAATATTTAAAGTTCTGGATTTTCATTCAAGTTTTTTTTTAATTTATTAAACTTTTAATGGACTTTAATAAACAAAGTGAATTAGTAAATTAATAGGTTGACTAATAAATATGGCAAGACTAAGGTGAATGATTTTATACTAAAAAAATTAAAGAGGAATTAATAATCTGTTCAACTTAGTATATATATCACACATGCCCTTTACCACTTTTTAGATTTGTGATTTGACCCCAGTCATTGTCATACATCATTGGTTTCATTACGATGAGTAGATTTAGGATTTTTATGTCAATGAAATTGCTAAATTCTTTTACTTAAATATTTACGTTTTTTGGCGTCCACAAGGTCTTCTAAAAACAGGGCATTTTAGGTTCAAGAAATTTTGTCCAAAATGCATAGAAATAAGTTTTTTATTATTATTAGTTTTTACACAAATCTATAAAAAAAAATTATCAATTATTCAAAATTTTAGCTTTAAAAAGGTATTAAACTGTCATAATATTGGATAAATCATTTGAATATGACTGTCATGAATATATCATTTGTAAAATACAAACCCATGTCATGAATATTAATTAATGTATAATATAAATGAGATACTGTTTATTAATGAATTTAATATACTTTTGTGACAATAACATAAAAAAGTTATAAAGTAAAGTTAAAGCATAAATATTTTCTTAGGGTCATTTGCAATATTTACAGGGTTTTTTCTGTTAAAAATGATTACAGATTTTTTCAAATATTCAGTAAAGGAGTTATTATTTTTTGAAACTTTGAATCTGCTCCAAGATTCATTAAGATAACTGTAATTAATTGCATCAACATTATGCTCAGAGTAGAGGCCAATCCACGACCAAAAACATCTATATGTTTTAAAATAACGTGAATTTTCAATGAAACAGTTATTCCATAATCTTCAAGAAGTGTTCTGTAGTAATCCTAAAAGTTTTTAATGTGTTTAAAAGTCATGATGTAGTGTTTGTCACAAAACAAGACTTGACCAAGTTGTTTAAAATTCTAGGCCCCTCTGCCAATGGTTTCAAGTTAATTGGCAATGCACGCATGTACTTATCATTATTTTTTAGGCCTGGAGGCGTTCCCATCAAAAGCATTGTTCTGAACCTCTTTTGAAGTGTTCAGAGTTATTGAAACTTTAACAACTTCTTTTTCACCACCATATTTCTTTATATGGTTATAAATCTTTAGCACAACGTTGGATTGAACCTGGTTCAGAGAATTTTTTGTATTGCCAATGTTCTAAGTTTCTCTTCTTTAAATGGTTTCATTCTTTTCTATTTGCATATATGACAAGGTTGTGTAGCCATAGCACTTGTAGATAAACCACGCATTATTTGACAAAGTTTAAAATCAGGTACAAATGAGTGTTTTATTTTAATTAAATTAAGACAAATCATTAAAATAAAAATAGTGACTTTTAGGTAAACTTGGAACTAAAAAAGAAGTTTTCACAGAACCTTTATATTTTGAACTCTGAGGGTCTGCATAAGTACTCCTTGTTGTTTTGTCTTTGTGATTATTTTTCTCAATTTCTAAACCTTTAATCTCACAATCTAAGAGTAGATTCAAACAGATCTAAAATATGAAAAAATTTTACAAAATGCTGTACCTTTTATTTTAGTTTTAGCTGAATCAAACTAAAACATATTTGGAATGAGATTGAAAATTTTACATCAGAAAGTTTTACATCAGAAAGCTTCTTCCTCCATCAATACCGAGTTTGGGTATTTGATTGCTTAGGTTCTCTTCTTTAAGCACAATAAAACAAACACAGCAAGCAATAAAGCACAATAACAAACTCCTTGATATCTACACACTTAATAATAGGGAAATTTCCTTTACTTGCAAATTTTCGTTCTAAATATCAAATTCTTAAAAATCTATTATAAAAAAATCTTCAAGTGCACTGTCAATTACTAGAAGTGCTTTTTTCAGGTTTGGTTGTTTGGAAGTTTTTCCTTTAACTGATGCTCTATTTAAAATAAAGTTTGTCTAAAATTAAAATAATATTACTTAAAAATAAAGTTTGTCTAGAATTAAAATAATATTACTTAAAAATAAAGTTTGTCTAGAATTAAAATAATATTACTTGAAAATAAAGTCTAAAATTAAAATAATATTACTTAAAAATAAAGTTTGTCTAAAATTAAAATAATATTACTTAAAAATAAAGTCTAAAATTAAAATAATATTACTTAAAAATAAAGTCTAAAATTAAAATAATATTACTTAAAAATAAAGTCTAAAATTAAAATAATATTACTTAAAAATAAAGTCTAAAATTAAAATAATATTACTTAAAAATAAAGTTTAAAATTAAAATAATATTACTTAAAAATAAAGTTTAAAATTAAAATAATATTACTTAAAAAAAAAGTCTAAAATTAAAATAATATTACTTAAAAATAAAGTTTTTCTAAAATTAAAATAATATTACTTAAAAATAAAGTTTGTCTAAAATTAAAATAATATTACTTAAAAATAAAGTTTAAAATTAAAATAACTTAAAAAGAGTAATAAAAAGTATATTTCAAAAAATTATTTTTACCATTTTAAATCAATCAATGTGATCTGTCTGAATTTTGGTTGATTTTTTAAAAATCCTAGTGATATTTGTAAAGTTTTTGCACCTGTAGCAAGTTTAATTCTTTTTGATCTTTTGCTGAATACTTTTTCTGAAATAACTTGAGAAGCAATCCGTTCTTCAACTTTAGCTGAGGTTTAAAGTTTATCTAGTATTTTTACAGCTAACATTTTATTTCCACGCTTGTGTTTTTTTCCTTTTCCAATGTTTGAAAGGCAAGATTTACACAATTTATTATGGAGTAAATGTGATTTGGAAAACTTACTTGTTCTTGTTTGGGGTTCTTCCACGTAAACTTGTTAGCTGGAAAATTTTGCAGTGACAAATTGCAGAATTTCTAATTAAAGCTGTAACAACATTTTTAAACCAATTTATCATTTAATCTGGCAAGTAGTTTTTTCAACGCATATTGTTTCTCAATTTATCCCACAATGCCAAGTGGATTTTTTAAATCAAAAGTGGATATTTATAAAGAAAGAAACTACAACTTTTTTATTGTACTAATAGTTTCATGCCTAAAGGCAATCATCAGCCATTTAATAAAAGTTGTAACATGTAACAGAAAACCCGTTAAAAAATAAAGTTACTGTGGGATGTGCTCTGTTGTCAAAATAACAAACAACAAAAAGACAAAAGAAAAAAGAAAAATCTATAAATGGGTATCTAATCAGCCATATTGAATATTGAAAGAAATTTGTTTTTGTGTTATTTAGATACTAATTTAGTCCTATTATTTAATAAGTTATCATTGGTGTAAGAAAATATGATATACTTTTCATATAGACATAGGTTGGATAGTTTTACTGTGGGATTGTAAGATCTACAAGGTTTTACAATTTTCCATTCAATTGTTGGGTTTTCTCCACTTTCTTTTAACCTCCATACTTCCTTAGATAATTAAGTATTGTTTTTATATATTTTTATATTAAAAGATTTTGTATAGTTAGCGTATCTGAGTTTGAATGTGGTTTCACTTACTCCAAAATACACTTTTTGATTCTGGTCTGGAGTACCTGTGTATAGAGTGGCTTCATACACTGTATTATTTATAAGGCACTGTTGATTTAAAGGGCACTTGCTTTTAATAATACAACTGCAATGTTTATTAGAATCTGAGGTGTTGTTTTTTATTACACAATGGTTATGGGAGTTAACTTTTGATTTGATGTTTGGCATATAACTGTAACTCACCTTTAGAGTATTTCTATTGACAATCTTATGGTATTCATTGGAAACTGGGAAGTTTTTATCTATTAAATCCAAAAAGAGTTAGCCAATTTTAGTAGAAATATTTTTTTCTATATGGGGGATTAAACCAGATTATATTGCGCTTACGGTTTTTTGATTGAGGTTTGATAAGTTTTAGAGTATAATTAAGTTGAAATTTGTAACCAGACTTTTTTTAATGCATCCTGATACAAATGGGTAGATTTTTGAAAAATAATTTCATTAAATGAATTAGCTGATAGCCTTTATTCTATAGAACAAGGAAGCTGCTTTAAAATGCTAGGAGAGTGGTGATTGAAATCAACATGTATATAACTTAGTTCATCATTTGGTTTACAAAATGGTCTTAAAGATTCGTCATTGAGGTTAAGTGTCACTTCAAGGAAGTTTACAACTATTACAATGTAACTTATGTTACATTGTATAGAGATAAAAATATTGTTATTTTTAAAAATTTGAACAAAAAGTTTTTTTATTTTATTCATGTGGTAACCACTAGCATTTTTAAAAAACGCTAGCTCATCATCTCGGTATAAGCCGTTTTATTATAATGCTGGGATAGCTGAAAAAGAAGAAAAGTTCCAACAAGCTTACATACCTCTGCGCTGTCAAAAGCACCCGTTGCAACATCAAACAAACCACTGTTCTTTTTAATCCAAGGTTGCTTATTATTACAAAACAAAATTTTGATTTTCGGGCTTGTTTAATTATTAGTTTATCTTTGCTTTTAATGGTTACATATTTCTCAGAAAATTTAATGGAGTCATTTAAAAGATTTTCATTGATAGAAGGATAAAAATCAATGTCAAAAGTTAAAAGTTTATAAAAATGTTTGGTTTTAATACCTTTGAACTAATCTAAAACATTTTGTGTGCTTTTCCATTGATTGAGACAGAATGTTTTTCAGCTCAGCAGTAATGCTAGATAAAATAAATTTACTGATTCTTCCGATTTCATTTTTTGCTGGATTTAAAAGATGGATGTGATAAAGCAGTTAGATGTATTAATTTTGAATCTGCCAAAATCTTCATGATTTTTTAACATAACTTTCCCCTCCATATTTAACAGGCTATTTATTTGTAACTCTTTGATCTTTCATAGGATGTAGTAATTGAGTTGTTAAGCAGTTATTGTCTTTTGACATTTGATATGAATTTGATGTTTTATCGGCTTGTGTAAATGTTTTGTTCAATAGATATATTTATATAAATTAAAGAAATTTTATTGTAAAATGTTAATTACACATACACTCCTAGTATCATTTTAAGAATTTTCCACTGTATTTTTTGTTTCATATATATTTATATATATGTATATATATATTTATATATACATATATGTATATATCACAAAAGTACTTGTTATGATACACAGTATCATTACAAGAATTTTCCACTTTATTTTTTGTTTCATATATATATATATATATATATATATATATATATATATATATATATATATATATATATATATATATATATATATATATATTTATTTATTTATTTATTTATATATATATTTATATATATATATATATATATATATATATATATATATATAGTTTATTTATTTTTTGTTTCATATATATATATATATATATATATATATATATATATATATATATATATATATATATATATATATATATGCATATATATATATATATATATATATATATATATATATATATATATATATATATATATATATATATATATATATATGTATATATATGAAACAAAAAATAAATAAACTATATATATATATATATATATATATATATATATATATATATATATATATATCTACTATAGCATATTTATATGCGCAATTGCTCACTTTTTTTGCTAGCCTAAATTAAGTGAGCATTTTTAGAAAACGATGAGGGAAAACGAAGAATAATGAATGAAAATGTTGCTGACCCATACCAAACCCTCAGTCGTTGTAGCAGCACTCCACGGCGAGTCAGGCTATTTGTCAGTCGATGTATGTACTGAAGCCCCCGGCAGCAGGCTATTTGACATCAGGTGAGTATGACATCATCATGCTCACCTAACTCAGCAGTATAAGATATATACATATTTATATATATGGTTTAGAATGAATTGTTTAAATTTTACATTTAAAAACCCACATTTTTAACAAAAATAGGGTAATTTTTATATTTTATAATGAAATTGTTTTTAAAAAAAATTTTCATAAAAAAGAACTCTCTATGAAAATCTGGTTCTTTTGAGGTTATTATACTTATATAAAAATTTTTTTTTACTAATATTTGGGACCCAGCAACTAATCAAATTGCTGAATTTTTTTTTAAAGTCGGCGTACTCAAAATGATCGGAAACAAGCTATGTATGAATTCAATGAAGGTTTAAAACCTCTTTTGATATGTACCAATGTTAGTGCACGTGGTCTTGATATTTTTGAAGTTAAAACAGTAATAAATTATAATTTACCGAATCTTACTCATGATGATATTAGAACATACGTATATCGAATAGGGCGTGCAGGTCGTATTGGGAATCCAGGCAAATCAATCTCATTGTTTTTGAAAGGAAGGGATGAAGTCCTAGCTAAACCATTGGTTGTTTTATTAGGAGGGGTAAATACTAATTTTTTTTAATAATGTAGGTCATTATTTAAATGTTTCATCATACTAATGTTACACTCTATTTATTATATATATTTGTTATATTATTTTATTATATTTAGTCTCAACAAGAGGTACCAACATGGCTAGAGGAGCTTTGCTTAGTTCGTGAAATGGCAAAATTGGGTAACTATTCTCAAGCAATTTATGAAACAAAAAGGGTTGCAATGCTTACAGAGAAAAATTCTAGTGATGATACTAGGAGGGTATGTTTAATTAACATTTTATTATAAAATTTCTTAAATTTTTGATTTATGCTATTTTTAAGACTATTATGTCTAAAATATCATATGTTAATATTAATTTATTTTATTATTTTCTATTATTTCGCAGACTATTTTCTGTTAATTTAAATAAAATCATTATATAGGAGTTCTATTGTAAATTAATTATTTTTTATATTTTTTATAACTATTATAATATGTTTATAAACTTTTATACTATACTACTTATATTATACTTTTGTATTATAAAACTTTATATACTATACTTTTATTTTATAAAACTATAAATAAAGTTAAAATTTTATATAAAAAATTTTCAAATAGTAGGGATTTAGAGAAAAAATATTTTGATAATTAAAAAATTAATTAAATGATCAAGCTTTTTGCAGTGGAAATTTTCTAGTAACAATTTCTATCAAATATTTTTTTAAATTTAATCAAATTAGCAGAATATTCTTTCTTGAGTGTTTTTATAATAATATTTGATCAACATTAATTATTAGATTAAAAAGATAAAAAGTTTAAACATATGTTTAAACATAGATCTTTGAGTTGTTCTATTATTAATCTTTGAATACAAAATCATTGTAAAATCAAGTATTCTTGATAATATATATATATATATATATATATATATATATATATATATATATATATATATATATATATATATATATATATATATATATATATATATATATATTACCTAGAAGTAAAATTTTGTATTAAGCTTTTTATCAGTTCATATAATTTTATTTTGCTTTTTTTAACTTTTTGCGCATTTTGCGACAGAAATAGTATGGTGAAATTAGAATAATATATGGAAAAAAGATATTATTATTTAAGTTTTTGTGCTCATATTAGTTAAGATGTCAGCAATCTAAAAAAAAAAGCCCCATGTTTTTAAGAACATGAAATGCCATTTTTAGCCTATATTTCAAATACAAATTTTGACAAAATTTTTTTGTATGGCCAAGATTTTTAGTTATGTAGTTATTTGAATGCTGAGTAAAATGTTTGCTTATTCAAAGTTTAAAAAATTGATGGCTCGTGAGTTATAGCTGCTCAAAATGGCAATTATGATGTCAGTTTTTGAAAAAATATTTTTTCTTTGAAATTGTAAGCATGATATATTGTTAGAAATAAAATTTAATGCTAAGTAAAATATTTTGTAGTTCGTAATGTAAAAATATTAGTATATCAGTATACTAATATAAATATACAAGTATAAAATATAAATGAGAGATTAGGTGGAGGGGGGGGAGCTAAAGCCCTAAGCCCTTTACATTTGTGGCTCTAAACCTTTTTTGCAGACCTTTTTTTTTAAAGACTTTTTTTAGACTGGTGCAACTTTGCCCTAAAAAAGCCCACTTTTTTCAAAATAGCCCTGGGCTCTCAATAGCCTTAATCTGACAGTGAAAAATATACTTTTTTTACAAATTATTGATATAGAGTTTAGAAAATTTTATTTTCCATGAAACAAAACAAAAAAAAAACTTATTTTCCATGAAACAAAAACAAAAAAAAAAACATTTCATCAAAAATACTTTTAAAGTTTTCTTCTTCATCACATCGTTGTCATTAATTGCATTTTCCTCCTCAATGTCAAACTTTACATGAATTAAAATAAGGAATTAGAATTTTTACTAAATGATTATTGATTTCTTTTTCTTTTTTTATTAATTATTTATTCTTCTTTTTAATTAATTAAAGGGTGATTATAATTTTAATTTATTTTAAAAATTTCAATATTAATCAATTTTCTTACTGCCTTATTGTTGCATTCCATCCCATGGCAATTCCCACATGCTGGCATATATTTTATCCCGTTTTTACCACAAATGCATGTTTGGGATTGGTTTTTCGAACTAGATCTGTAGTTGGATTGGATGACCTTAAGTAAATTTGGTAGAGTTATTTCTTTATCAGTTGTATTTGGTTCAAATTGTCCATTGGTTGATTTTTATCCCCATTCTGTAGGTTTTAAGTTTAATCCTTCGTATAACATTTTCCATTCAATTATTTGCAAATGAACTCTGTAAACATGAAAATGACCAACCTGTTCTGTTGGTGGTAGCTTTTCAAGGACAACAATACCTTTACATAGAGATTCAAGATATTTTGAATATCTAATGTTTAAGGAAATATTTTTTTAAATATAAAGACAATCCAGATAAACAAATATCTTATGTTGCTCAGAGCAGTTTGACTATTTAAAAAATTTTCATTAAGCTCCACTAATCATTTTATGTTTTTATGTTTACTGATAATTTTATGTTTAAAAAAAGATTAAATCTTAAATTAGCTAATGACTTCTCTTGATTTCCAAAATGTAATTCTATGAAAGCATTGATCAAGAGTTTTGCAATTTCTTTGTCTATTGCCCAGTAGTCCATGAAGAAATTTTCTTTTGCTAAATATTGCTAAAGTTGAGTCACATCCACTCCATGCATGATCAAAAAGCAAATGATTCTTGATGTCAGCAACTTCTAATTGACTTATTTTTTAATGCTCTAACATTTCTTGAAGAAAGAAAATATCGCATAGCTTTTTATTTCAGTGGTAAAGAAGCCTTACAGACACATCTGTATCATGAGCCACAATTATTATTGGAAAGCCTTATGCAACCTCAAGAACCATAAAAACAATTTTTGTGTCAGCTTCCCCTTCACATATATGAACTTTATATCAATTGCTCTTTATTGTGAGTGTTGGCCAAAAAATATTCTTTCGAGAATAAAACTTTGTTATCGTCTTTGATATTGATATATCTTGAAGAAACACTAGCTGTTGTTCTTCTAATGTTTTTATTTGATTTTATTGTTGTCATGGATTTATATCCATCAAATACAATTATCCAAACTTAGGTTGTATTGCATACAATGTTGTTAAACTTTGTTCCTGTAACCCAGTGCACACGATGCAATAAAGTACCTCTATCAAGAACATAAATGCAATTTACCATTTTTTCTATTGAATAAATCTTTTCTTCCGCTAGAAGTAGTTTCATTAGTGAGGCTTTATCAGTTTTCTGCTTAAGATTATTTCAAACAAAGCTTGTAGAAATGGGTTGAGTTCATAATTAAAGTAGATTTCAACATGAAATTTACTATTTTTTCTATTGAACAAATCTTTTTTTCTGTTAGAAGTAGTTTTCTTAGTGAGACTTAATCAGGTTTCTGCTTAAGATTATTTCAAACAAAGCTTGTAGAAATGGGTTGAGTTCATAATTAAAGTAGATGTCAGCATTAGCTTCTCTCTATGCAACTGCTGTTAATCTTGTAAATAGTTTTTTTGATTTGATAAAAAGTTTTGACTTTGTCAAACTTTCAATTGATAAAAGTTCATTTTTTGTTTTGATCTTCTGTAAAACTGATGTTGTCAAGATCTTGTTAAATTGCTAGTCCAATGGCTTCTGAATTTTTACAATTAACATTGTCAAAAAGATTTCTCTTTTTCGAACCAACCATAAAATTTTTGAAAGTCTTCATAATCATTTAATTGACGCATGAACCCTATTTCTAGATGCTCATCAGTTCCAACTGTAATTCCTGTCAGATTTGTCATTGTGTCATGAACAGCAGCTGTGTAGCTAATACTTAAAACCCAAAGGAGGCGTATATTCTCTTTAAACCCATGGTCTTTTGTTAACCCACAGCTAGTTTTAAGAGACAGCATAAGCATTTGTTTAATCACAAGAACTGACCATAATCCACCCCAATAACTATCAGATCTTCAAACTGTATGAAGCCAAAGGTTAGTCTCTGAAAGAGTTAATATTTCTTGAAGATACATTCTAGAACTTCATGTTCCTTTTTCTGCAAATGAATTCAACATTTTCTTCACGGCTTGCAGATGTAAGTACCAGTTTGAAGTTCTTTTGGCACAAATAAATTCCTTCATGAGGTCAATATATTCCACATACTGAAACCATAACGCAGCTGTATGCAATTCAACTTTTTTTTTTTTAATGAAAGCAGATAATGCACTCTTAGTTTGTTTAAAAACGTCACTATATCTCAATTAGTTTCTGCTTGTTCATACCGTGATCACCCATTGCTTTTTGATAGGTTTAAAACCAGTAAAATCAATTCTACTTTCTTCTATTAAAGAATTCATTAAATAAACAAACAAAACACTTTTAACTATAATGTGAGTTCTAACAGATCTAGCAACTGTCTATCCTGAAAACATATGTTGAACAGTATGCTCTGCATACACTTGTTCAAAAACTTTTTCAAGTCCAGATTCTGGTATTAGCTTACCAATGCTCCCAAAAAAATTCATAGTAAAATCAACCAAGTGTGCACAATGATCAGATTTTTATTTTTCACAATTCTTACAGTCTTTAACCGTAGCCCAGCACGATTAAAGTTTTTGATCAACCACAGTAATTGATCAAAAGTAATGCATGGTGTAGATATGTCAAGTTTTTTGGTTTGAGGTATTACAAATTGAAGAGTTGAATAAATATATGATTCTTCAAGGATTTAAGTCAATAATGGGAAGAAAATTGATAGTCGCTTTTTGAAAGTTGTCACTGTATGTTGTCACAGTATGTTGCATGAATCCTGAACAGTTAGGGTGTGGATATTCCTTTGAAGTTAATATCCAAAGTAAATTCATGACAGGCGAATGAAATAATTGCATTGTTAAATCTATGACTGTCTTGAATTTTAACTATGACTGTCTTGAATTTTAAACAAAACTCTTGTTGATTTGATCCATGATAAGGAAGTTTTTTTATTTCATCTATTATTTATTTTTTTATTTCATCTATTATCTTTATTTCATCTTTAAAGCAAAAAGAATGCTTATACTTCAATTGCTTAATAGCAATGGATTTTTGAACAGAGTATGGAGAAATTGAAGTTAGAGTACATATGTTATGGTCAACATTATTGGCAACCCATTGGGTAAATTTATGTTCTTGCATTTCAATTGCATCTTCAGTTCTTGGCATAATTTAGAACGCCCATTTGATCAATTAAATGATAGTTAGATTTATCACAGGAAAGTTTTCTGATGTCAATCTTTTTGCCGTGGCTGCATTTATGTCATTGGATGTTTGTTCAATTTTTTCTCAAAATTTTCCATAATGAACCAAGCCATGTTTTTGAAGCAAATAATTTTTTTCATCTGATGCTTCTACAAAATATGACTACCATATTATTCTACAAGCTTGTTTTTTAAATGTTTAATAGAGTAACATAGAGTCTTTACTAAGTTCTAACATTTTATTGTGCATCTCTTTTAATGTACAAAGGTCACAACCAGTATCTTTTTCTAACCAATCACAAACCTTGTTAAAATTAAGAAGCACCAAATCATCTGTTGGGCGATCCTTTTTATTTCCAGTAAATAAATGAAGCCTTAATTTGTTTAGACAAAGAATGTGATAAAATACTTCTTTTACAACAAGATCATTACAACTTGATACCTAAAACTTCTCTTTCATCACCTAAAACTTCTCATTCATTAGCTTTTACTGTTTTTTGTTTTTACTGCTTCTATCACCAGCTAATATGGTACAAAGAAAGCAGCATGATTACCACTTGAAATGTACACCTATAATTGAAAATGATTGTAGTTTCATAATTTGAACGGCTTTATTTTTATTCTTTGTATCAACAAATTTTCTATAATTATGATGCACAAGAGCCGATTGGGTTTTCCTTTAACTTTTGATCAAGATATCTAAATAAAGGTAATCCCATACAATTTTAATGTAAAATTGCCATATAGCTTGAATCTGTTTATCATCAGAATTTGATACTATTTTATACTATATGATTAAATGTACCTATTTAAATTGTATAATCCTCTTTTATTGCAGATTCTTTTTAAAGTTTGGAGTCCTTTCTTTTCCCACTGCAACTAAAGTAGACTTTTCAAAGCCACCATTACACAATGAGTATATATATATATATATATATATATATATATATATATATATATATATATATATATATATATATATATATATATATATATATATATATATATCTTTATATCAGGCCTTGTGATGAAGCGGGAGTGCTCCGTGCACGTGAAACACGCCCGTAAACGAGTTTATTTTATAGAAATTTTTTTGCTGAAGTCAAGATATTTTTAAACAGTAAAGTTTGCATATTGATATATACAGAAGTTATATTCATTATAAAGTACGTCACACATGATTTATGCCCGATTTTACTTCAATTTTAATTTATGCGGTATAAGTTCAAATTAAAAATGATTTATTACTTCCATTTGAATGCTAAATCCAGCATGTCTTATTTTTTAGATTCCAGTTGTACTTAATCATGTTATCTACTAAGTCGAATCATTTGCTAACTCGTATATTTTTTTAAGGGTCCATTTGATAAAAAACTTCGCTTAACTAGAACTTTTACTTTTAATTGCATAAAATATCAAAACCTGCAACACTTCAATGAAAATTCCAAGCTTAAATGTTAAAAAAGTTAAATATCTAGCATAGTATTTATAAATATCTAGCATAATATTTATTAACATCTTATAAATAAATTTCTAGCGTAAAAGTTTTATCAAACAAAAACTTCACTTAAAGCTTCAATTTCATACAGAATCGATTACATTCTATTAATTAATGACTATTATATTTAAAATTCAAAAACATCAAAACGTTGGAATATCAAATTTTTTTTAAATATAATTTTATTCAAATATAAGTTAATATAAAACTAAATATTTTCACTAGTATCTTTGAATCAGTTTTAACTGATTTGAAGATACCAGTGAAAATATTTAGTTTTATATTAACTTATATTATGTCCTCATTCAAGCGAACATAATGTTAATTCAACTTCAAAAAGGAAACAAAGTTATTTAGTCATCTTTTAGTAAATAGAGGTATTTCATTGTTTTTATTTAATATCAAAGCTGCAGTAAAACATTTTTTCCGGTAGATAGACAAATGCATTAACTAAAAAATCAAAGCTTTTTTGACTAATTTCCCGAACTTCACATGAAAAAATTTAAACATAATACTGAAATAGTTATCAACAAGCACAATTATGCGCGCTCAGCTTCGAGAGCAAAATTCAGAGTTGGAATTGGTTGCCATTGGGCCATCCATAAATACATACATATATATATATATATATATATATATATATATATATATATATATATATATATATATATATATATATACCGAGAGAGGGTGGCAAAAGGGATGTACTCGCCCCAGACTCCAGAAGGCGAAGAAAAATTTAGTAACACGCTACTACATATTAAAAAAAATTATAATTTGTGTGTGTTTTTTTCTAGTCTCTATGCTCTATACTAGCGTTTAACTATTTAACTATTTGGTATAATAAATATTTTTGTAAATTTGTTATGTTCTAAATTTTTACATGAAATTTTATTTTAATTTTGAAAAAATTACAATAAAATTTAATTATATTAAATTTTCAAAATCTTCAGAACTTAATAAAATGATAATAAAGTTTTCAGATTAATGAATTATTACGTTTGAAGTAAAATGCTGTGACTGTTTTTCACTTTTAAAACTAGTTGATTATTTATGATCTTTTTTATTTCTATTTATTCTTAAATTTTTACAACATTTTTCTGACAGATAAGTGGTACATTAATCTTTTTATTATGTTAAAAATAAATTATTGTATGACAAAAATGAAATGTCAAGAAGTTGCCATATTATAACAAAAAAAAAAACAGTTTATTTCATTTATTTTCATATAGCAACAGCATCTCTTTATAGTGTTAAAAAGTTTAAAATGTATTGTTTATAAAATGTATTATTATTGTTTGAATATATATATTGTCTTCTTATAAAACAAAATAAGCGATGTGTCAAGTAACTCAACAATCACTTAAGAGAAGAATATCATTGATTTTCTCATTACTAGTGAAGTAAAAATTACACTTCAATTTTAACTAAAAAAAGCTGGGACGTAAAAGAATGTTTGTTTGAGTTGAAAACATAGATAAAAATACAAGATTATCTTGCATGATTTTCTCCACATGCAAGTTAATCTTGCCCTGAGATCAAGACTTTTTTGGTAACATCTAAATTCTTTACGTATTCTTCAGCTGCAAACTGGCTAGGTGGAAGATTTTTCAAAAATTGTTAGGAATCTCTCTTTACAAGTTTTCAGGTACTATGTGGTCAGCTCGGATTGCTGCTATTAAATTAAATGCAAGTAGACCACAAGAAATTATTGTCCTCAATTGTACTCTTTAGGATTTTAACCTTACTGCTGACATGCTAAATCAAGCTCAGTCCTTAATAAAATTTTCAAAATCATTTGAAACTACTGTATTTCTTGCCTTTTGGTACAAAATTCTCCGAGTTTTTGGCGAAGTAAGTCGTTTGTTTACATCAACTTCAGTACCAATGACCAAGTTATTCTCATTCAACAACTAATTAGTTATCGTGGCCGCGACCTCTCATTATGGATTGATATTTTGACTGAAGCAAGAGCTATTGTAAGTCCTCTCGGCTTTGACTAAATTTTTGACTTTGACTAAAAGAAAGAAGAGAGCAAAATGATTATACAATGAACTTGCAAATGCAGCGTTCTGCAATGACAGCTCTGAGCAACAATTTGAGGTAAGTTCAACGTTGCCTTTGATCATTTTTTTTCAAAAATTTAATTGAGATTTGACATTGCAAAAACTACTCTCAATCATCTGGTTGAAATATTAGTAACCAGATTCTTCAAAGATAAAATCTCATGAATTCGATGTCAAAGAAGATGGAAGAAATTATGCATCTTAATCTTCACTTTTTACTGCTTGAACCAAATGCATTTAAAGAGTCTAGAAATAAATTTATAGGGTTTATAGCCTATTTTCTCATATGTACATATGTATGCATACATATGTATGCATAATTAAAAGATAAAACATTTAAAAAGCGTATGCAATCATACATATGCACGATTGCATATGCTTTTAATTTAAATTATTTTTAAAAAACATGCATGCATGCAAATTTCAAAGAAAAAACTTTTCAAAAAACTATGACGTCATAATTCTCACTTTGATCATCTCTAACTCACAATACTTTTTTGAACTTTGCGTAAACATTTTTCTCGGCATTAAATTATCTTTCAAATGAAAGAACTAATAATTTAGCGATATAAAAAAATTATTTATTTTGCCCAAAATGTGTATTTGAAAAATAGGCCCAAAATAGCATTTCCTGTTCTCAAAACACGGAGCTTTTTTTTTTATCACATATGTATATATGTTTAGCCAAATATATATATATATATATATATATATATATATATATATATATATATATATATATATATATATATATATATATATATATATATATATATATATATATATATATGATTTTATTCATATATGGGAGATTTTTGAATCTATCAAAATTTGTTAAGGTGTTATCAAACTTTATTTTTATCATCAAAATTTTCATCGAATGCAGATATACAGAATGCTTATTTTTAACTTTGATTCTTTTTTTTAGTTTGAAGACAAAGGAAAAGTAAAGGATATTTCTTATCGTTTTTCTAAGTTGACTCCTATATAAAACATAATTTATGAAGTTTTATGTTGTGAAGTCTGCATGTTTATTAACAAAATTACGATAGGTTCTCTTCACTTTTTTTCTTCTTTTTTTCTTTTTTGCAAAATTTTGTTTGTAAACAAACTTGAAATCTATTGAAATTTTTTGTAAATAAACTTGCATCTATTGAAATTTTTTGTAAATAAACTTGCATCTATTGAAATTTTTTGTAAATAAACTTGCATCTATTGAAACTTTTTGTAAATATACTTACATTGATTGAAACTTTGTTTTTTACTTGTTTAGTATTTTAAGCTTTTTTCATTTTTACTTAAATTAAGTGTTGTTGTAAACATTATATCATAAATAATATACCACTCTTTGTATCTTTTAAAACTTTTTTTTCATAAGTTTAGCTCGTTTTTTTTTGTTTTTTTTTTTTCCTGTAATTAATATTTGTAATGAATAATTTTGGTAAATTCTGATGTTTTCCTCGTTAGTTATATACTACCTGCTGTGTTTATTTCAAGCCTCTTGTTCAACTTCGCAGCATTCCTGAAATTATGAACTGAGTTACCATTGTTTGTATTACAAGTTTGCTGTTTGGGTACATCAATTATAAAAACAAATCACCTCTAAACTTATTATGGATTTCTTTTTTTTTTTTTTTCTTTCCGCCCTTTTTTTATTTTTATTCCCCATTACTTGTTTTATGCTCTGATCGGTATGAACTATGAAGAATACATTCAAAAATTCTAATCTAGACATAAAAAGGTAATAGTCCAAAGGTAAAATATTCTTTGTTTGTTTCTTATCATGCTAATGTACTTGTATTACTTATTTCAGTAGGTTTTGCCTAACATAAATATTGTGTACAGTACAGCGCATATAGTATTGTGCCACATAAGTAGCAGTATTGTGCCACACAAGTAGCGGAAGAATATGATGGCAACTAATTACAAAATTTTGCATCTATCATGAAAAAGCATCCTAGTATGTATTATTTGTATATCAAGATCTCATAGAGATACATTGGAAGCAAAAGTACTTCTATTTGTTGTCTTAAATCATTGACTTTAGACATTAAATTTTTAGATTCCTCAAAAACTAGTTTGATGGGTCAACATTACCACTAAGTAGATGATATAACACGGTTTTTCCAAATTATGGTTTTAAGGTCAACAGAAAACTTGTATCAACACCATAGAAATACGAAAAAAACTTTCATTGCTTAATCTCTGTTCCGTAAAACTTTACTTATATTAAAACGTTGCCGATCTCTTTTTGTTTTTATCAATCTTTTCTTAAGTGTTTTATAAAAGCTTGTAATCTTAATTTTAAATAATCACTTAAGTGGTGTTACTAAAACATTTTTAACTTTTGAAATATTAGAGATAATTTTGTTCTACAAAAAGAATATGAACACCAATACAATGTTTTATCTTATTATATTAAACGAGTCAATAAAAACTTTCTTCGATTTCAGAATAAAGGCGGCAAATGAAGAACTTGGCTAAATTTTGGTTATTATTTGTCACTTTTTATCAACAACAAAAAAATTGAAAAATATATTTCATTAAATTTTTATTTATCATTAAATTATAAACATTTTACAACCACTATAAATCAAAAGAGTTTTATTTAAACCTAATTGTTAACTGAAACTTACTTAAGTAAGTAAAGCAGTTTATAATAGAATCTATGATTAGTTTATTAAAAACAATTTTTTTTTATCTAAATCAGTTTGGCTTTTCAAAAAAATCTAGCAATCTGAGCATGCAATTATTGAAATAGAAAATCAAATAACTAATAGTATTGAAAATGATAAGTTTACTTTAGGAGTATTTCTTGATTTATCAAAAGCATTTGATACAGTGGATCATTCCATTCTTTTTGATAAATTAAGACATTTCGGAATAATTAAAAAAACCTATTTTTGGATTATCTTATTAACAAAAAACAATATGTACATAATGTCTAATCTGGAGTATTAAATGTCTTATGTGGGATCCCGCAAGGATCGATTCTTAGTCCATTCCTTTTTCTGTGCGGCCGTAGCGCTGTGGTTAGAGCGCTTGCTTTATAAGCAGGAGAATGAGGTTCGAAACGAGCTTTGGACATTTCGCGTCGCGGTAAGGAAGAAGGCGTGAACTTCCTGGTTAAATGCACTTCCTCGATGCTCTGTGACAGGACCGTAAGGACTTCTTGGGGCACCTAAATAACAAATAAAAAAATAATAATATATATAAATGACTTCTGTAATGCATCCTTAAAACTGAATTCAGTCATGTTTGCAAATGACATGAATCTATTTCTCACCAACAATGATATCAAAATATTTCATTCGCATATGAATATAGAACTAGATAAAGTAAACAACTGGTTTATCTTGCTTAATGCTCAGAATATCTCGCTTAATGCTCAGAAAACAAAGCATATACTATTTCATAAAAAAAAACGAAAATCTTCCTCTCAAGTTGCCTAACATAATATTAAATGATAAACTATTTAAGAAGCAAATCCAAGGAATCATTGTTGATGAAAAGTTATTCTGGCTTCCTCATATAATATACATCCAATCAAAAATCACTAAAATCATAGGTTTGATGTATCGAGTTCACTCTTACGTCAATACACAATGTCTTAAATTAACCTACTTTGGGCTAATACATAGTTTCATCAGCTATGCAAACATTTCATGGGCAAGTACTCAAACATCAAAGCTTAAAAAACTGTATAGTTTACAAAAACAAGCTTGCAAAATCATTTACTATAAGGATAGGCATGAACCCTTAATGAAAGATATGAAAATGATGAACGTGTTTGAAGTAAATGTCTATCAGCATTTAATTTTCATGTATCGTTACAATTACAATATCTCTCCTATAACCTTTAATAACAAGTTTGAATTAAATAAAAATGAAAACTATAATCTTAGAGCAAATATATAATAAATATTCAGAATATAGCATTTCATATCGAGGTCCGAAAGTATAGAATACCTTTCAAAAAACGATTCAAAAGTACGGTAAATTCGTTAAGTTAATTCAAGTTCATAACAAAAAAAAAAATTTTTTTAACTTGAGAAACGTTTTTGGTTAATGTTACAACTCTACTTTTGTTTGTTGCTTAACAATCTTATTAGCAAATTACGCATTTTATAAAGATATTTAATTAAAATTTTATTACGTATTACATATTACGGTATTTTATTGAAATTTTGTTAAATGGGCTCTATGAAAAGATTGCGATGACGTACTGTCATCATCATTTTCTCTGAGTTTTACTTAGTTGGCGTTAGACAGGTTTTGCGTAAAAACCTCAAAAATCAGAAAAGTGATCCCAAATTATTAGCAACATTTTTACAACTTTTATTTTTATTCCGTTAAATGCAAATATCTATTTAACAAGGAAAGATAGATCTTTTAATTTTTTTTTTTTTTGAAGATGAAAACGTTGATAGAAAAAAAAAATTATTTTTTTAAATTTAGTGAATTTTTATACTTTTTTATGCAGAAGTAATTTTTTTTTGATAAACTCAGGCTCGCTTTGATTGAATGAAAGCCGCGTATTACATTAAACTTAGACTATTTTGAAGTTTGTACCCATACATGAAAGTTTGTACCCATACATAAAAGTTTGTACCCATACATAAAAAAACAACCATGTAATCGAAGGAGCCGTTCGGTAAAAAAAAAAAGAAAAATGTGCAGAATATATATGTTGCGCAAACATGCACAGAATATTTTTTTTTTTTGGTTTAAATAACTTTTAGGTATAAAAAGCTTAAACGCATATTCCATACCAATATTTTATTTTATCAAAAAAGTGTTTCCAGACTATTTATATGGTTAAAATTGGCGTTAAACCCTATCTGAATAAAAAGTCGGCTCGTCTGAAAAAGCGGTTATACTGTAACTTATTCGTCAGTATGCTCTGGTTGAGTTTAAAGAAGTTTTTATATTTTCTTAGCTGTAAGTGTTTGTCTATTCCATTTTATTTTAATGACTAAAAAGGACTTTCCAAATTAATCAAAATATTGTTTTCGATGTTCAGCACTGTTATCATGATTTGGCAAAATATTATACAATTTTTTCCTAAACGATCTAAAAACTCTACAGGGGCTAAACTGCTTAAATTGTGATTATTTTATCGCAAAAATTACTGGCATAGTAGACGATAAAGTTTTTCTTTTGTTATACTCCATGTTAACCATTCTCTAGGAAAATGATCTTTTGTTCGTTTATCTTTCGTTTTTGTAAACAATAAAGGTTTATAAAATTTTCTTCCTTATAGATCTTTTGGTAAGTTTTCATAAATCCGCTTAATTTTCTCAAAGCTCTAAGAAGTTACAGCAGATTGGTGCAAATCATCTGAAATAAATTTGGGTCCATGTACCAGGGTCATCAAAATCCGAAAAATTGTTGTTTGAGTTTTTTTTAAATACAAATTTAAAGCCATAGCGCGTGTGTGTGTATTAATATTTATGTATATTATGTGTCTGCACACATATTGTGCGCACACATATTGAGCATTGACATATAAATTTTAACTAGGGCCCCTTTACCTCAGGGCCCTTGTGCTATTGTACCAATTGAACCTTGAGGAGTTATGGGTAGAACAGGGCTCCAGTAAATATATTGATTATCTTTTGATTAAGTCGCTCTGACGTCAAGCGAAAACAATTGCATCGGCAGTCATGTTGAACAAGGTGATAACATTGCAAAGAATAAGAGAAAATCCTTAAAGAACTTTTGATAATTAGGAATGTTATAAGAAAATTATTATGTAGACGTGCCGAAAAAATATAACTTTTGATATCAGTGAAGATATATGTAGTAATATTTACGCCATGCATTATTACATCATGGTTTAATTTTTTTTGGAATTAAAAATTGATTTACAAAAAGCTGTTGTTCAGTTAAGTAATGTGAAAAGTAATAAGCTGTACGATAAAAAGATTGCATTACATAAAGAAGTGGTTATAAAAAAGTTAAGAAAGATTGTACCACGTAATAAGTGATGATTAAAGTATTAAGAAAGATTGCATCGTGAAGAAAATTATATTTTATAAAAAATTACTAAAGAAGTTACTTACTAGTTAACAATAACTTATCAATTTCTAAAATTTGGTACTTACAAAATAAAAAACAGCGTATAAAATGTTTTAATTGTTAATTAAACTGGAATGAAGGAAAATAATTTTAGCGA